AAAATGCAGTGGGCACACAGTGGGCAGAGGCCAAATGACGATCTTTGATTGCACACGGCTGTCCCTTTCCTCAAGCAACAGAGAATTATCAACCCCAAAGGTTAGAACTTTAGAAGCTGACACAGTTGTCTCTATTTTATATACACTTACACTTGTAACTTTTATTTTGCCGGTCCTGGGACCTGAACTCTGGGCCTGGGCGCTGTCCCTCAGCTAGCACTCTACCACTTGAGTCACAGCGCTACTTCTGGCTTTTTCTGCTTATGTGGTGCTGAGGCATCGAACCCAGGGCCTCAGGCATGCAAGGCAAGCACTCTACCACTGAGCCACCTTCCCAGCCCTCTTACACTTGTTTGATCACAAATTAATAGATTATTTTTGTCAATGCTAAGGCCTTGCTCTTGCTAGGCAAGCCATCTACCAATTGAGCAATCCCCCCAGTTCTAGCCACACAAAAACATTTATTTGAAGTATCTTGCAGCACAGGAATTTCATGGCAATAATGTTGGAAAATTGCCCCAGTTTATCAGTAATTTTTTAAAAATCACAGAGTGGCATGGTCTCATAATCTTCCTTCTCTTTGATTATCATTTGTCCTTGTTGAAATCTTCTCCCCCCCCCCTTCTTCTCTTCCTTGTCCTCCTCCTTCTTTTTGCCAGTCCTGGGGCTTGAACTCTAGGTGTGGGCACTGTCCTTGAGCTCCTTTTGCTCAAGGCTAGTGCTCTACCACTTGAGCCACAGCACCATGTCTGGATTTTCTATAATTAACTGAAGATAAGAGTCTTCCTTGCTGGGCTGGCTTCTGACTTCTAACCATGATCCTCAGATCTCAGTCTCCTGAGTAGTTAGGATTACAGGCAAGAGCCACCAGCTCCTGGCTATTCTTGAATTTCTCCTGAGTTGGCTTGATGTCTTATTGTTTTGGTTTTTCTCTTTCCTTCTGTAACCTCTCTCTTCTTCTGGGCTCTTATTCTTGCTCCCAGAATGGGTATTTCTTCAGGTTTTTTTTTGTTATTGTTTCTTTTTGCTTCATATGGTCAGTCTCTTAAAGAGGCAAGAAGGATCATGGTTTTAGGCCAACTTAGGCAAAGTCAGTTCAAGAGCCCTTTGAAAAACAAACAAAAAAAGCAAAAGGTTTTTGGAGGATGGTTGCGGAGGCAACAGTGCTGGATAAGAAATGTACTCATTACCTTGCTCATGTAACTGTAACCCCTCTGTACAGTATTGTCACAATAAAAAATTAAAGTGAAGCCTTGAGTTCAATCTAATTCTTTTAATTGGACTTGAAACTGTACTTAATCACTGTTATGAAGCCTTCCAGATATTTTTTTGATCTACCTTTTTGAATGAATCCTTAATTGCCCTTTCTGAGTTCCTGAAGTATTGAGTCATACTTCTTGATTTCCTCATGTGCCTGCACAGTACCCCTGTTCATTGGTCCTAATATACCACTTTGATTGTTCCTTAAAAATTTCTAGTGGGGTTACTTCACTTAATATTTTTTTTCCAAGTCTTTCCATTTCTTAACAAATGCGGTGGTGCCATTCTTTCTGATAGAGGCATAGAATTCCATTGTGTGCACACACACACACACACACACACACACACACACACACACACACCACATTTTCTTGATCCATTCATCTACGGAAGGGCATCTGGGTTGGTTCCATATCTTAGCTATGGTAAATAAGGCTGCAATAAACATAGTTGTGCTGGTAGCTTTAGGATGGTCTTGTTTGTGATCATTTGGGTAAATGCCCAAAAGTGGGATTGCTGGGTCATAGGGGAGCTCTATGTGAAGTCTTTTGAGGAACCTCCATACTACCTTCCAAAGTGGTTGAACAAGTTTACACTCCCACCAACAATGCAGTAAGGTTCCCTTCTGTCCATATCCCCTCCAGCATCTGTTGTTATTAGAGTTCTTGATTATAGCCGTTCTAACTGGGGTGAGGTGGAATCTCAATGTTGTTTTGATTTGCATTTCTTTTATGGCTAGAGTGGTTGAGCATTTCTTCATGTGTATATTGGCCATTCTTATTTCCTCTTAAGAAAAGTTTCTCTTCAAGTCTTTAGCCCACTTATTTATTGGGCAGTTGTTTTTTGAGGATTTGTTGTTGAAGAATTTACTTTTAAGTGAAGTAAGCCAGGCCCAAAGAAACATAGGTCCCATGGTTTCCCTTACTTGCAATAACTAGTATAAGTTGAGGACAAGCAGAAAAGGTCAAAAGCTATGTACATATGATCATATAAGATGATGTTAAGCGAAATGAACCCCAAGATAGGGGCACAACTTGTTTTTTCTTTTTTGCTATTGTTTTTAATGCACCTAAAATGTACTATGTGATTTTTTTTGTTTCTCTTGTATGTTCTTCCCCCATGGTATAACTTCTGTTTTCACTGTATTTGATGTCGGTGCCCTGCATCTAGTATATACATTTTTCTAATTTGGGGTGGGGAAGGGAAATAACAAAATGCTGAGACAAGGATACAGATGACCCATTGTAACAATGAGATGTACAAGACACTATGTAGAAAATGAACTTTACAACTGGGGGGGGGGAGAGTTGGGGAGGTAGAGAGGGAAGAGATGGTAAGGGAAAAACAAAGGAGGAGGTAACAATGCTCAATAGGAAATGTACTCATTACCTTACTCATGTAACTGTAACTCCTCTGTATACTATTTTTACAATTAAAACAAAAAGATTCAAATCCAGCCCAGGAAAGTAAAAATTTCCAGTGGGGGGCTGGGAAGGTGGCTTAGTGGTAGAGTGCTTGCCTTGAGCTGACGAGCTGAAGGACAGCGCCTAGGCCCAGAGTTCAGGCTCCACAACCGGAAAAACAAAAAACAAATCCAGTGGATGACTTGCCAACGAATTTTAAAGTCTACAAAGCTTATACGGGAGTCAAACTTCCCGCAGTGTGAACTCTAGATTTATTTATAACTTTTGTTTTCCTTCCATTCTCCAGTTCACTTCGCACTCCCATCAATGCCTTGTAAGATTACTACTCACAGGGAACAGAACAAAGCAAAAAACAACTACTTGGGCTGGGAATGTGGCTTAGTGGTAGAGGGCTTCCCTAATGTGCATGAAGCCCTGGGTTCCATTCCTCAGAACCATATACACTGAAGAAGTCAGAAGTGTTGCTGTGCTAGTGGTAAAGTGCTAGCCTTGAGCACAGAGAGGCTCAGGGACAGTGCTCAGGCCCGAGTTCAAGCCCTCGTATTGGCAAAAAACAAAACAAAACAAAAAACCCTCCAAAAAACAAAAACAACTACTTGAAACTGAATTTTTGTCTCTGAGCATACTTCTGGGAAAATGTAAACTGGGATCCTCACTGAATGTGGAATTGCACATGGAGTGCTGGAGGAGTCTAAGGCAGCTAGAATTCATAGTTGAATAAAAATAGGAATTAAAGGGGCTTGGAAGGTGGCTCAGTGGTATAGCGCTTGCCTTGCATGCATGAGGTCCTGGGTTTGATTCCCTAGCACCACATAAGCAAAAAGAAAAAAGCCAGAAGTGGCGCTGTGGCTCAAGTGGTAGAGTGCTAGCCTTGAGCTGAAGAGCTGAGGGACAGCGCCCAGGCCCAGAGTTCAGGCCCCAGGACCAGGAATTAAAATTAAACATATTTCCTTCAAGAGTCAAGGATCATTTTCTTAGTTACAAAAGTTTCTCCCACAAACCCCTAACCATTTGAACAGAAAATATGCAGCTTGGCCTCTGAAAAGCCCCATTAAATTTGTGAGGAGGTACAAGGCTTTCTCTATTATTTACTAAAAAATGTTTACTTATAAAATGACTCAATTCAAACTTTCTTTCCCACTTAAGTTCATTGTACCCGCAGCAGCTTGCCTATTTAACCACAGATACTTAGACAAACAATACAAACAAAGCTGTTAGCTCAGTTCCAATAAGAAGCCTGAAATTTTGCAAAACAGTGAAACATTTCTTAAAACCTGTGAAAGTGATGTTAGAGAAATTCAAGGTTAAGAACAAAGGAAGGAGAACAGGGAGTGACCGTAGATGAGGAACTGATGTGGCTGGTGGCCTTGATAGGAGCTTTCTAAACTGAGTGATCTGAATAGTGAAGGATTATAGGAAGCTCTTGAGAAAATTAGCAATGCATTGAATTATATTTGCCAAAAATGATGCTCTTTGTGATTTTCTGTGCAAGTTCAACACAAAGTGTGGATATTGCTGTCTTGGGAACTGTGTTCTCCCAAAATCAGGTACTGGAAATTTTATCCTCAAAGTCTCCCATTAATGGCATTTGCAGGTAATATCTTTAGGAGGAAATTAAGATTAGATAAGGTCCTGATGGTGGGACAATCTCGAGTGATTGGTTTTTATCAGATGAAGAAGAGAGACTTGAGCTAGCATGCATGCCCTGTCTTGTGTGATTCCCTCCACCATGTTAGAATGCAGCCCATGGCCCTCATTAGAAGTCAAGAGGATGCTAGCACTATGCTCCTGGATTTCCTATTCTCTATAACGGGGCTAAGTAATGGGGCTCTCTGCTTTAGAAACAGACACTCAGTCTCAGCTATTTTGTTAGAGCAACAAAAATGGCATAAGAGAATTTATTTTTTCTCCTCTCTAAATTTAGTTTATAAAAAACACCCCTTATGAGAAGGGTTTGCACGTGTGAAAACATGTGCTCAGTTAAATAGCTTGAACTAGTATGGAGGCTTATCTCTTTTGCTTTCTAGAATCTACTCTGGCTGGAAATCGCTTAAACATTGAAGTGGAGAACATTTGCTGTCTTTCCTTATTAACAGATATATTTCTCAGAAACATATCTGTAACTTCCAAACAGTCCCAGTTGGCTGTAGCTAAGGTCTGTGTAATTGATAAAATGCATCTGGCCTCAAGGCACAGATAAAGCACAGAGAGGCAGACTGTTCATGTCCCTGGAGAATCTGGCTGGGGTAGGAGCGAAATCTCAGGGTCACTTGCTGTATAAATTAGTGCAAAGACAATCCAGAGCAGGGAGAAGCCAAGGGGTGAGATTTCTGGGCTCTTCCTGTAAGTTGAAAACTTGCCTGCGCGGAGAGAGAAAGTTTTCCTCTTCTCTTTTCCCAAACATGAAGGTAAGATAATTTTATTACTTTTGTAAATAAGGGATTTTAAAAAGAAGTCAATACTTAAAAAAAACCCCATAACATAAGAACAAAGACAAAAATACAGAATATAAAGGTCTGGGATTAGTTAAAAAATCCTTAGTTAAATTTTTAAAAATAGTTCAACCAAAAGTGAATTAGCCCTTCTTATTTTACAGTTTAATTATAGCTCCATTGGGCTGGGAATAGAGAAAGTCATAAAGAAATAAGAAAGCTGGGAGCTGGTGGCTCACACCTGTAATCCTAGCTACTCAGGAGACTGAGATCTAAGGATCAGAGTTCAAAGACAAGCTTGGCAGGAAAGTCCATGACACTGTTATCTCCAATTAACTACTCAGAAAAAGCCAGAAGTGGCTCTCAGACTCAAGTGGGTGAGTGCTCGCCTTGAGCAAAGGAAGCTTAGAGACAGCACCCAGGCCCAGAGTTCAAGCCTCAGGACCCACAAAAAAGAAAAAGAAAAAGAGTACAATGGGTGTTTCTTAAGCCTGGTTTTCTTTCAGTATGTATGTCCTTATCTGAAGCCATGCAAAGAGGCTCTGATGGCACTTAACCTCAAAGTTTATGGAGAAGTGAACTTGCTACTGTGGCATTTTAGAATTGGAGTCCAGGGTGAAAGGTCCAGGACTATGAGAATGGAAGATGTAAGTATGTGGAATGAGATAAGGCTTATCAAATGCACAGATTGCTTCAATGAAAAGTTATAAGATCATTTCTTTTAAAAGTTCCTTTGTAACAAGAGACAAGACTGAGGACAGAAATCATGACCACAAACCACATTCCTGCCACACGAAAATCAGATGCGTTTTTTTTTTTTTTTTTGGTCGGTCATGGAGCCTGAACTCTGGGCCTGGGTGCTGTCCCTCAGCTCTTCAGCTCAAGGCTAGCGCTCTACCACTTGAGCCACAGCACCACTTCCAACTTTTTCTGCTTATATGGTGCTGAGGAATCGAACCCAGACCCTCACGCATGCAAGGCAAGCGCTCTACCACTGAGCCACTTTCCCAGACCCATCAGATGTGTTTTGATGTTGCATTATAGTACTGGAGAAATAGTTCCTCAACCCTGTCAGCTGCAGCATCTTTGATCATCTCTAGTAACAGTGCAAAATCCATGCTCATTGAGCAAGGGAGTTGGAGAAGGAGCAGGATACTGCTTTTAAATAATCCTGGTACAGGTGGCATTAAATAATTACAATTTAAATATCAACCTCAAAGTTCATTTGTTTAATGTTATAATACTCTGAGACTGACTAACCTTATAAAGTTGGAATTATGATGTAATTTAATCTTTATTGCTATACTTTGTACTTCACTTAAAATTGAGAAATCCTTTAGTTCAAAAAGGAGTATGATGCTCTTGCTAAATTATCTAGCTAACAAATTTCTCCCTAATATTTGCATTGTCAATTTCCTTTATGTTGAGACATCTTAATAATTGTTTGTGCTTAAAATATGGCTCACAATAATGGATTATGCTCTTTGGATGTCACTGTAATATATTTTTTCCTTTAATTACAAAGTAGAAAATCAACAAATAAATCAAAGGTTTCCCTCCAAATTTCATGCAGAGTTCCAACCTGTATTTGAAAGCAAATATCCATATTTTTATAGTAAATCCAAAGGAAATGCTTTTGTGATATGTTTCAGAGAAGAGTTACTTAGGAAAGCCCTGAGCTATCAGGACAGAGAATTGAGAGTTTGGTCCCAGAATTCTCTTTGGTTCTTTTGTTGTCTTTGAATGGGAGATCTATTGGTTCTTAGCTATTTGATAAGGAGTCATAACTGGGTCTTTTCTCTTGCCTGGCTGTGGGATGGCTTTTTACAAGGTTCTTTCAAGACTGAGCTCACCAGGAGCCAATGGATTTAGGGAATGGGGGAGGGGTGAAGGAGAGACAGGAAATGATACTTTATGCACCTTAGGGGAAATTTAAAGGCACAGGTCAGTGGTAAGCCAGATGCAACCGATCCGTCCTAACAGCTTGGACACTCAGAGTTTGGGAGGATGAGGATATGTGCAGGAGAATGACCATTTGTTAATGCCTAAGACTAAGCGCTGAGATGTGAGTTCCCAGGGACAGGAAGCAGGGGTTGACACAGTGTAGAACAAAGATTCAATGTGGATACATATACAAAGCCCTCTTAGGTTATAAATGAAAAAAAAAATCCTAGTGACATGTTTGTTGTGATGTCAGAAGAGTAGTTGTAGGAAAGCAGTCTTAGCCTCTCCCATCCTCCTTCACTCTTCCAGGTTGGTCCAGCATGTAGGTTCCTTCCCATCCTACTGGCTGTGGTAATCAAAGGAAAAGGCTAAAAGATTTGTAGAACTATAAGCACTAGAAGTAGGGTTTTGCGGTGGAAAGAAGATACCTTTACAGGTTCAATTGTCTAGGAATGTCAGGAAGGTGATCTATAAGTAAACTGAGGAAAAAAGTTTGGAAGCTGAAGTAGAAGTCGAAGAATACAACCTTCTTCATATATAGCATCAGATGCATTTAAGGACTTGCATACTAACTCGTGAATCTACTATATTTGATATTCTTGGAGAGTCACAGTAAAAACTTGATTTATACCCACCTCTTCCTAGCTTTATGTCCTCTATCTTCAGTACAAGTAGGAAAACACATACAAGGAAAAATAAGTAATGGAAATCCCAATTATTTTTATAATTAAACTATTATCTCTTGTTATGTTTCTCTCTAGATTTGTCTTTTAATACACATATGGTTTTTCAAAAAACATGTTATTACATTTTCATTTAATTTTGTGACCTGTCAAATCCTCCATATTTAGGTTTATGCTGTCACATAAAGATGATTACAGAAGGTCCCAGGGTGTTTTACATGCTGAAGTTCCTCATGCCCCAGTACTAAGGAGTAGATGGGAGTCACTGCCCCTGCTGATTGCACCTCAACCTTTACTTGTTCACTCAGACTGTTAACTCCCTGTTAACGCCTCAAGCCATCAGCACTGCTACTTCATCCAGGTTTCTCCTATCTACTGTTCCCATGGGGGCTGCAGTTACAAGGAAGAAGAGAAATGGATTAAGATGAGGGAAACTTAAGTAAACACTTGAGACTATTTCACTCTACTGAGACTTCCTTCCTTTCTTCCTTCCTTCCTTCCCTCCCTCCCTCCCTCTATCCCTCCCTCCCTCCCTCCCTCCCTCCCTCCCTTCCTTCCTTCCTTCCTTCCATGTGATTTTTTTTGTTTCTTTTGTATGTTCTTCCCCCATGGTATAACCCCTGTTGTCACTGTATTTGATTCTGGTGCCCTGCGTCTTGTATATACATTTTTCTAACTTGGGGAGGGAAAGGGAAATAACAAAATGCTGAAATAAGGGTACAGGATGACTCATTGTAATGATGAGATGTACAAGACAGTTTGTTGAGAATGAACTTTACAACTGAAGAGGGGGGATGGTGGGGTGGTGTGGGAGAGGTGAGGGAGGAGTTGGGGAGGTGGGGAGGAAAGGGATGGTAGAGGAAATATAAAGGAGGTGTAACAATGTTCAGTAGGAAATGGACTCATACCTTCTCATGTACCTGTAACCCCTCTGCACAGTATCTGTACAATAAAAATACATATTAACCCCCCCAAAAGAATACATTGGTTTAGTATGTATAGTAGCTAAGTTGCACAGACTTCTTAACTATGTTCATCAGTATTGGGAATTTCTATCCTTTAACCATCATCTCGTTAACTACTTTCTCCAAGTATGTTCTCAACCCCTAGTAATTTACTTACTGCTTTTATTTTTATTCATAAGATTTATAATCTTCAAGTAGCTATACAAAAGAATTCCAATTCATCATATTATTTTGAGTACAATGCATCTTAATCATCTTAATGCATTTTGATTATAACTCCCATACTTGTCCTTTGTGTTTTGTTTATCTCATTTAAGCTAATGCCCTCTAAGAATATCTGTATTGTTGGAAACAACAGGTTTTCCTTTATAAAGGCTGTGTAGATATGTATTGCATTTTTTCTTAATTCTTTTTGTTTTATTTATTTTTTCAGTGATAAGGATAACCTAATCTCCTTGTTTCATATTTTCTTTATTTCTTTATCCACTGATGGATGCGACAGTGGATTTTTATCTCTTCACCATACTAATTTCATTTCTTTTGGATACATCACAGTACTGGGATTGTTGGATCATCTGTTAGTTATATTTTTAATTTTTTGATTTCAAATTTTAAAATAAAATCTTAAAAGCAAGGCAAAATCATTTAGCTCTTTACATCATTCTTTCCTTCCTTGTATTCTCAACCCATAAGTCCAGCTTTGGATTTGTATTGATTTTCAACTCATTAAAGAATTGAATGCTAAAGGAATCCTTTATTATTTTTCTTCTACAGACAATCAGCTTCCTTATCTTGGTGGGATTTACAGGAGAGCTCCAAGTATTTTCAAGGTAAAGATTTTGTTTTTTTGATTTTGTGTGAAAATGTAAAAAAATATTTTGGGAAATTCTTTAGTATTATTTATTAATTTGTACATTACAGCTTGAGTGTGTTTACCCTTCCATTATGTTTTATCTTCCATGTTTTCAGAAAAATTAGCCATGGAAGTCTGTTTTATTCTTATTTTTATTTCACTTTACTTATTTCTCCTGCAAGGAAGGAACATGAAGACTGAAAAAAAAAATCTCAAGATCTTTATTCCAGTACCATGGGTCTTACCTGTAACTCAGAGAATTGAAGCAGACCTACACACCCACAAGCAGTATTTCATGTTTAAATGTAATCCTTGCAGAACTTTCTCTGGACTTTAAAGCTCTTGAGACATGGAACAACAAAAAACAAAAAACAAACCCAAACAACAAACTTAAGCAACCTCTAGGCATGACCTGGTTTAGTTTTCACTATCGGATTCAGGGGCACGGGTGGGCTCACCTGAGGGACGAGCAGGACATGCGATGGAGGAGTAGAGAGAGGAATGAGAGGGCCCTGGGAGTCTCCAGGGTGATTCAGATCCGAGAGCAGAGTACATGGAGATGAAGGAACATGAAGAAGGAGGGAAGGATAGCCACGCTTCTCTTCTTGAGCCTTCTTGTTCTGGAAGGGTCTCTTCTTCTCAGGGCACAATGGAGAGAAGTATCAATAAGTTCAGATTGCTTAGGGGTCAAAAATACTTAGGTATTTGATCATTGGTGCCATATGTAAACAGGTTACCAAGGCTGGTTCACAATACCCCTGGAATTGCATACACCGAAGACATGGACATATATGTACTTCCCTGAAGCATGTTTGTATTGGTTTTTGACTATTCTCTGTGTCTCCTTGTGCATCTTCCACCTGCTCTACCATGTGTTCTGTGACAGTGGCTCCTCTCCAGTCAATTGCCGGTATGATTCCTATGGCCCATGGTCAGAATGCAGTGGCTGTACCAAGACTCAGGTAGGATCACACAAAACTTTGTGTTTGATTACTTATCTGTTGAAACAGTTTAGGCATGCCTTGGATGATATTTATTCCTTTGTGTGTTTGTGTGTGTTGCGGGGGGTGGGGGGATCATGGGGCCTAAACTCTGGGCCTGGGTGCTGTCCCTTAGCTCTTCAGCTCAAGGCTAGCGCTCTACCACTTGAGCCACAGCGCCACTCCGGATTTTTTTGCTTATGTGGTGCTGAGCAATTGAACCCAGGGCCTCATGCATGCAAGGCAAGCACTCTACCACTGAGCCACCTTCCTAGCCTGTTTTCCTACAATTTTTAAATTTCCTACAATTTTTAAATTCCTAGCAATATAATATTTGTTTTAAAGGTTCTGAGCATTTCAATGGATATAAATATCTTTAAATGATTCAGTTTGGATAAACTCTATATTTAAAATAATTTAAAGTAAAGTAACAGAACCATAGGTAATTGCTATTTTGAAGCATCATCATTTTCTGTCTGTCTCTCTCTGTTTCTTTGTGGTACTAGAGCTCAAACCCAAGGTCTTGCACATGCCAGGCAAGCAATATAACACTATGCTCCAGTTCTCTCACAGTATTTTTATAGGCTGTTTATTTAGAATCTCAAAGAATGTTTTTTCAAAACAAGTTATACACATGAAGAATTCAGCTTCTAGCAAATACAATAGATGACAACTCTGATTATAGGCAGAGAAGGACATGAATAATGAAGCCGAAGTCAAAGAAACACCAAGCTTTCATAATTTAAAAAACGTTTAGAATTTAAAAACAAGGAAGACTTGTAAATAGAAGGAGACAGAGGGTATTTTTCATAGAAACAATTTTCTTCTTTGAGTGGTCATCAAGCAATGAATATATTCTAAGATCACAAAGCAAAATCTTCTTTGGAAATACCTGAAAATTTTAAAGGGCTGCAGGCTCAGGATGTGCAAGGTGGGAATAATACTACTGGGAATGAGCAGGCATGGTACGCCCTGGTTGCTGGAAGAGAGAGAGAGAAAACATTCCTTTTGCAAATGTTGTGCTTTGTAATCTCAGAAGAGGACTCAGATCAATCACCCATGTGTCCCTCCTCCTTCAATCCAAAAGCACAGAGATGACATTGTCCAAAAGAAATGTACCCTTTACCTGACATAAGTAACTGTAACCCCTCTGTATATCACTTTCATAATAACAATAAACATTTTTGAAAATTACAAAAAACAAAACAGGGAGTAGAAACCGTATCAGACTACTTCACTGGATTCTGTTCCTTACCTGTAATAGCTCCTTGGTTTAAATGCAATGAAAAGTGCCAGAGACAGGCTCTGGTGGACAGAAACTTACTCAGAACTCAAATTATATTAATGTGTCTGCCCATCTCAAGAATCTCTACCTCTAACACAATTTAGGATGGGTGAGTAAGTTCAAAATGGGTTTGGTACCTACTTTTGGCTGTTGATTGTTGCTCAAAGGTGTAAGTTTTTCTAGAAATTGGTTTGCTTTTATTAATGGAGGAGGGATGAGTGCCAGAAGAGGCCTAAAAGGTGCACCTTTGGTGGCCAGGAGTAAGAAAAAGAGCTGTGTAGATGTTTATTTATTTATAACATTAGATAACATATCCCTTCATCCTGAATAAGGATTCGGTGAACTTTAAGATAAATTAGCTGTTAGTTTCTCATTTAGCTAAATGAGTTCTTCAATATCCCTCTTTCTCTCAGAGGAGTGTTTATCATTTATCATTCCAAGGTTTAGTAAGGGAGAATTTTGATTGTTGAATAATTCTACTATAAAGGAAATTTCATTAACATCTATCTTTGGGCTGCTTAGACTGTAAACTTGGCTTCTTGTATTAGTATGTCGCTCTGGGTATCTTTCTCCTCCTTTTCCATCTTCAAGAAGGAGTAAGTTTCCTGGCAAATCAATGACTGCTGCTGATTTTCTTAGGGATTCCATAACTCCACTTCATCTAAACCTTCCTTCTAGTATCCTTCCCGTTCTTCCTCCAAAACCCATCTCCCTAATTCTACTTAGCTCTTTCTATAGAGCTTCAGCCAAATAATCATTCTCTACTGTACCGTATTTGCTTACCTACCCATTCCTGTTAAGCTTCAATCTTTGACATTACTTTCTCAAAGATTCACTAATTCTTTTCCCCACTCAACAATGGAAGTAAAGATAGACCTGAGGGCCCTCTATAAGAAGGGCTTCACATGGTTGCTGACCTCAAACCGGTGCATTTGTTGATTTTGTAGGTTCTACTTGTGTAGAACTCATCATTTTCCTGGTTATTGTTTCTCAAATTTTATTAATTGCTCTCAGATTTCATCAGTCAAAAACAAAACAAAACAAAAACCCCACAGGAAACTGGAGATCACTTGAACCGTTTTGTGTTTAGACTCGCCGGCGGTTGGTGGCTGTGTATGGGCAGTATGGAGGCCAGCCATGTGCTGAAAGTGCTTTTGAAACACAAGCGTGTGAGCCCACACGAGGGTGTCCCATAGAGGAGGGCTGTGGAGAACGTTTCAGGTGTTTTTCAGGTAATTTCTTTTCTATAAGCTCAGTGCAGATCATAAATTCAAATGCTGTTTTCTTTAAGGTGCTCAATATGTATTTATTGAATTTTACATGGGCTAATAAATTAATTCCCCCCCCCATATGAGCAAGAATTTGGTTGGTATATCAATCACACATTCAGCTATTATCCTTCCAAAAGCAAGGGAAGCACTTGGTAATAAAGGTTAGGGCGTTCTCTGCCCTTCTAATAGAATTACAGCTATGACAGTGTTGATAGTCCTTAACATTGGTTGAAAATGCAGATGGAGTCTGGTATATAGGTGAGATTGGGCAAGAGCAACGTTCTTCCCCACAGTTTTAGTTTATAAGTCAATAACAATAACTAGCCCATCAAGAACAACACCACCTGCTCTGTGCCTGGGTGAGAGAAACAGAGTTTTGGCAAAGGATTTTGACTTACTTTCTATGTTGCATTTATGTAGTCAGATGGATTCATTTACTTTTCTTGTTATGATCCAAATATAGTGACATAAAAATGAAACATATAGCATCTTCTCTCAAAAACATCCAAGTTTCACAGACAGAAGAGTATATAAAGAATTCCTTTGTTAGAAGTGTTTTTCCACAATCTTTGTCAAACTTCTATGTTAGTTTCCAAATCCAAATCAGATGATAAATGCTTTGGAAGAGTTTTCTAAATCCCCAACTGATAAAAACAGTTAACTAATTATTTCTCTGTGTTCTCATGTATCTTGTACTATATAGTCTAGCATATAGACTATGGGTTGGTCTGGATGTCTCTTCTGAAATCCTTGAAGACATGGGCTGTATTTAGTATAGTTTCATCTCTGGAGTAGCAGGTTCCTAGGTAGACTCCCAACACGTATTTGCTGTGTTGCATTGAGTGATGGTGTAGGGGCCACTGCATTGTTCAGGGACACTGTTTACATTCTGAGAACTTTTGTGCACAAAGCATCCCCTGGGGACACAGAGGAAGAGCAGCAATTATGGTCTGTGGGAGTAGGGGTGGTTTTCAGTAGAGTTTAATATTTCAGCCTGATTCTTGTTAATTTTCTTATTGTGAAAATGCTGTACAGAGGGGTTACAATTACATGGGCAAGATAATGAGTACATTTCTTATCAAGCATTGTTGCCTCCTCCTTTGTTTCCCCTTCCCATCCCTTCCCAACCCCCTCACCCCCCTCACCCAATCCTTTCCCCCAAAGTTGTAAAGTTCGTTTTTCCATATAACGACTTGTACATCTCATTGTTGCAATGGGTCCGCCTGTATCCCTATTTAAATGATTTGTTTTTTCCCTTCCCCTCCACAAATTATACCAACCTCAAATACAGTGAAAGCAGGGGTTATACTGTGGGGGAGGGACATACAAAGCAACAAAGAAATAATCTTATAAATGTGTTAGAAACAATTGCATGAAAGAAAAAAAAACATTTGAATACTTATCTTGGGGTTCATTTCCCTAACATCAACTTATCTGATCTTTTCTGCTTGTCTCAGACATATACTAGTTATTGCAAATAAGGGAACCATGGGACCTATGTTTCTTTCTTGTTAATTAAGTAGAGAAAAATGGTCTAAGCAGAGAGAAGTGTAAGAATATAGGGTTGAACAAAACCCTGGTCCTTTATGCAACTGGCCCATGGCTCAGTATGCCTAGAACATAGGAAGCTAGGAGAATGGCGGTAGACAGGGGCAGAGAATTTGGTCCATGCCAGGGCTCCCTTGGCACCCTGAGCTTATGGCCATCATTTCAAATGAGGATTTATTTGGTGTGCTACAAAATGGACACCTCCATAATCTCTAGTTCTTTCTAAGGCACCCAGACCTTATCTCACATTTGCACTTTTGTGGGTGAGAGAAACCTTTTTGACCCCAGGTTTCCATTCTCTCTTTGTATTTGCACTTGGGCTTTTCTTGTGGTCAGGTCAGTGCATCAGCAAGTCATTGGTTTGCAATGGAGATTCTGACTGTGAAGAAGACGGTGCTGATGAGGACAGATGTGAGGACTCAGAAAGCAGACCTTCCTGTGACATTGACAAACCTCCTCCCAACATAGAACTCACTGGCAACGGGTAAGATGATGAGCAGCCTCTTGACTGGGTCAAGAGGTTGTAGCTTTACATTTTGCTTTGTTTTATGGTTCAGTAAATCTAATAATAGATCACTGAACAGCCAAACCTTTTCATTTGGCTTAGAGCTCTTTGTCATACCCTGAAACAATATGATATAAAAAAATGAATTCCTGTATTCATTCCTGTGCGTTTGTAGATACACGTAGAAAGAAGCAGAGTGAACATTATTCCTAGACAGTCCTGCTTTTAGTGCTGAAAGTCCTGCATCTAGGAAAATCTCTTAGTTCATGGAAGGAAGGAAAAAGAAAAAAGAGAGAGGGAGGGAGGAAAAGAGGGGGAAAGGAAAAACACAGAGAGAGATAGAAGAGAGAGAAGAGAGAGAGTGAGAGAATTGAACTGATTTGATAGTGTGTCTCTGCCCTAGAGATTGACGATGATGTGGGCAAGGAGAGAAGAGAGGAGAGAGACAACTCAATTTCCAAGGTTGAAAAGTAATTGCTTAAGCTAGCTAGGAAACTTGATTTCTAAGAGGTTGAAAAACAATTCTGTTTGACTTTGAGAGATTGTGAAGAACTTTTGGAGTTGTAGGGGACTTAGTTTTTAAAGTTAGTTTTAATTTAGGACTAATCAATTTTAGCATCAATTTTAGGCTGTTGTTTTCTAATCTAATCTATTTTGATGTGATTTTCCTATAATACTTTAAAATTTATTAACAGAGAAATAAGCTAACATTGTTTAAAGGAGTAGCTATTGGGCATACAAACATAGAGTCAGTTGAAAATTCATTGTAGAACACTCCTCCAGAGAAAGCTTAATTGTATTGTTTTTATCTATAGATTCAATTCAAAAGCAGCTGTTACCATAGAGACAACAGGGCCTGTGTGTTTCCCAAATACATTCCTTGGCTAAAAGGATGTTATACTTTCCCAGCGATTAGTGTTAGCTATTATACCAAGCAGAGAAAGTTAGATAATTTATGGTGTGCATTAAGGGCACTCTTTATTTGCACTCTCAAAGAAGTACTTAACCGTAAAGGATTTTAAGACTTTCTAGAGTCCTCTAATGACTTTTTTTTTTAAAATTTTAAGCAAGTACTACTTTTGGTTTTAAACTACTTTTCCTTCTCTTCTTCGTCTTCCTTCTCCGTCTCCTCTTTCTCTTATATCTCCTCTTCTTTCTTCTCTCACAGTTATAATGCACTCACTGGGCAGTTTAGGAACAGAGTCATCAACACCAAAAGTTTTGGGGGCCAATGCAGGAAAGTGTTCAGTGGGGATGGAAAAGATTTCTACAGACTGAGTGGAAATATTCTCTCCTATACATTCCAGGTATTTAATCATATCAAGTTAATTGATAATTATATTAATTTACTTTGTAAAGCATCAGAGATAATTACTTATGAGACACTAAAGTTTTGTATTTGTTGAGAATTTACCTTGGCCCCATATGCTGTCAGTTTATATAAATGGTTTATAGATGCCTAATAAAATCTACTTTAACTCTTGGGTACAACGCATTGGTACTGTTCATTTGTGTCATTCAAATGGACATATTTTAATTTCATGTTCTATGTGGGCTCAGAACCTTTATCACCTTTCCCTGTGTGACATTGTTACTGATGAAGGCTGAGATATGACTGGTTTTTGGCAACTTTGACAGTAACAACTCATTTAAAAGTGCTTTTTATTTTTAAATTGTGAAAAATGTTACATATATATATATATATATATATATATATGAAAATGAGTAGGTACCGTATATGTGAAGAAAAAAATAAAACAAATCTCTGTGTATATTCATGTGTAACCATCATCTACATTAAGAAATAGCCACAGCAAGTGACTTAAAGGCTTTCCTGTGTATTTGTTTCTGATCATATCTCTTTCATCCTGGGGCAACCATTTCCATACAGTTTGTATCAGTCATTTCTATTTTTTTTTCTGTAAGTGCTGTCTGTATATCTTTGTTCTCTAGTAAAAGTTTATTACTTTTTTCCATTTATGCAAGTAAAATTCTTTTTATGACTTTTTTCTTTTCTTGCTCAGAATGACAGTCTTGAGATTTATTCATGTCAAGGCATATGGCATTTTTTTTCTTGCTGTTTCCAATTTATTCTTATTAAAATGATTTGAACATTGCTATGTGTGAGTCTCACACTTCAGGGCATAGACCTAAACTCAAATTGTTCTTCTATAGGACATAGACACAATTAACTTTACTAGGAAAAGTCTTTTACATGGCTGTGTCAGTTTATAATCCCTCCAGCAGTGTGGAAGAGTGGCTTTGGCAACCTGTTCTCATCCCTGGTGGTCTTGCTTAGCTTTCTAACTTTGCTTATGAGTTTAGGGTTTCTTCTGGCTCTAGTCATCTTCTGTTCAAATGTTCTATCATATACACCTCATCCTGTTCTTGATATCAACACAGAATCTGCTCACACAGAGCAGTTGTAGCTTTAGGGGGAGTTGCTGAAGATTTGCAGTGGAGATCAAGAGCAAACTCTCAGCTACAGTGCTGTGTGTGTGTGTGTCTGCTCCTTCGACACCCTGCATCTTGCAATACTCTTCCACAGCCTCAAGAAAGTGCTGCCCCTAGTCTTATTCTGCTTTAGTTTTTTTCCCCTTGTACTCTCCTTCAAAATTCTCTTTTTATTCCTTCTCTTTCCTTCAGCCCAGAACTCCCAAAGATTCTCATTCAGCATTCTCTATTATGCTCAAATTTGTGAACCCAAATCATTAAGATGTTCAGACAGAAGGCCCTTCTGCTTACTGAGATTAGCCTCTATAGAAAGCTGCTTTGCTTATAAATAGCAAACTCACTACCTTCCAAATTATAATAGAATTAGTTACAGCTAAGAGCTACTGAATCATGAAAATGGAATGTTAAACTGATCTGAAAAACATCTGTAGCTACCAATTATTATTATTTTTTTGTGCCAGTTCTGGGACTTGAACTCTGGGCTTGGGAACTATCTTAGAGCTTCTTTTGCTCAAGGCAAATGCTCTACAACTTCTACTACAGCACCACGTCTATTTTTGTTTTTGAGTCGTTTATTGGAGAAAAGAGGCTCACAGAGTTTTCTGCTGGTCTGGCTTCAAACCACGATTCTTGGCTCTCAGCCTCCTGAGTAGATAGGATTACAGGCATGACCCATTTGTGCCTGGCTATACCAATGTTTGAATATCTGGCATGGCATCTACTTTGTTCTAAACCATGGGTCTAGTTTTATTCTTCACAATATCTTTGGAAGGCAAGGAATATTTTACCATATAAAATGTGTATAAATTGAGGCTCAGAGAACTTTAGCTGCCTAACTCCACATCATCAAATTAAAAAGCACTACAGCTCAAATCCAGTGTGTCAGATGTCACAGCTCTTTATTTTCTTTTACCTTTTGCTCTCTCCACGTTATTGTAGTTCTAAATTCTACAATCCTAAATTCTACATGGTGAATAAGTATCGTAATTTAAACTCTGGCCAGAAGGAAGAATGTGAAATAGGTATCTGTAGATATTTATTTTTCTTCTGTTCCTAGGAGGATGTATTGCTAATTCTTTTATAATCGTCAGCAGGAGGCACATGTGAATTTTCCTAAAGGTCAAATTTAGAAAGTTGCACAGCAGAGGAAATAAGAAGAAGAACCTTTTTAACTTAGTTGGGAGGTAGATGCTGGAGGTCTGCAGCTTCTGAAGAAGGGAATAATTTAATAACAGCGTGATTCTGACATTCATTTACCTCAGCAGGGCTTGGCTTTTGGATTGACATCTAAAATGCCTTTCCAGCCACCAAATGTGAAGGTGTTTGTCAGAAGCAGAGGGAAATTATAGCCTGCTGCTGAGTGAGGCATAGCAGTGTTGTGAGGCTGTAGCCTGGGGGAAGTGAGGCGGAAGCGTCGGGCTGCCCTGTCAGTCACCCAGCGCTAACCCATGGAGGCGGGACTGTCCTCTTTAACTCAAGTAAATTGACATAGCATCCACTGAATATTCAGCTCCCTGAAAGGTGACAAGTATCTTTTGGTGTATTGGACTATCATTATTAGTAACTAGGAGTAGTAATGATGCTCTCATAGTCTGTGTTTGGCACTGTGGTTTTACCTAGGGCAAACTGGCTTCCTTCTTAAGTAAACCAACTTACTTTGCCATGCACGGCCTGGACGTAGGTTTACTTTTCATGCAACAGGCAGGGCCTTCACACGGAAACACCTTTCTGTTCCGTGGCTGCTTAGGAAGGTGCTTATTCTATACATCATTTAGCTTCGGTCTATGTTCATTCTCAGATTGTGATGAGTAGAGGAGTGAAAGCCCACGTTGGAGGAACTTCATAGATTCTCCTGGGAGAGATCCCAGCTGAATATCAAATCAATCACAACGTACCGGCTTCATTTATTTACTTAAAAAAATGGTGTTGGGGTGTACACTTAGAGCCTCGCTAGACAGGCACTCCATCACTTGAATTGCTTTCCCATCAAAGGAATTTTTATCAAGGATACTTTATCTAACCTTCTTCTATTAATTAAGGAAAACAAGCTATGTGACAGTGGCTCCCTTCTGTAGTCCTAGCTACTGAGTGGGCTGAGATCTAAGGATTCTAGTTTGGAGCCAGCCTGGGCCCACAAATCTGGGAGACTCTTTTTTGTTTGTTTGTTTTGGGTCCGGTCATGAACTCTGGGCCTGGACGCTGTCCCTCAGCTCTTCAGCTCAAGGCTAGCGCTCTACCACTTGAGCCACAGTGCCACTTCCGGCCTTTTACTTTTTGCTTATGTGATGCTGAGGAATCGAACCCAGGGCCTCAGGCATGCAAGGCAAGCGCTCTACCACTGAGCCACCTTCCCAGCCCATGGGAGACCCTTATCCCTAACTACCTAGCAAGAAGCTGGAAGTGGAGATGTGGCTTGAGTGGTAGAGTGCTAGAGTTGAGCTGAAAAGCTAAGCCAATGCCTTGAGTTCAAGCCCTAGTTCCGACAAAAAAAAAAAAAAAGTAAATAAAACTTAGGAAAACTATCATCTACCCTGAAAAAAAAAAGATTGCTATGTGTAGGGAGAGCAAAGATGCTGCAAAAAGCAGCCAAGAGACTTAATTATACAAATTAGGAAACAAATATTTGAATGACGTGTCTAAGATGGGGAAAATGGGTTAATTTTTTTTGTATTAAATTTTTATTTTTAAGAGAAATAAAAAAACTTAATTCTATGTCCAGCCCAAAATAAAATAGTCCCGAGACACCAGTGATATGGATATCTTTACTAAAACTTAGGAAAATGCTCTCATTTTAGTCAGCAACAATTCCTATACCATACATATCTCCCATGACAGCCTGAGATGAATGCTTGAATCTGACTTTTACACAGATTTTATAATGTAACGAAAATAATTCTCCATAATAATGGTTATGGTTAGATCTATCTTTTCTTATTTAATGGCAGAATTTTAGTATGAATAACTTTCAACATGGGGTAAAAGTCATATAATGCATTCTGGTATTTCAGTCTATTTTCTTGTTGTCTTTGTTGAATGGGTATAGTGAACAGGGTCTTCACATCTCCACCTTGTTCTTGTTTAATGCCAATTTCCTGAATGTTTTGTATTCACAAACATCACTTAAGACACCCCATAATAGTGTATCATTTTCTTCTCTTTTAGTTTAGTTTTTAAAATGTATTATTTTCATCTTTTCTGCTTTCTCTGTGCTTATTTATACTTTGATCTCAAACACAGATGTATATGGTTCATAATAACAAATTCAGTGGAAGGAAAGTTCCAAATTTGAATTATTACATAAAATAGATACTAGGAAAAGAAGTCCTCTTACAGGTTTTTGTTTTATGTTCATGGGGAAGGACATTTCTAGCAAAGCTGTTGCTTGTAATTTCAAAAAGTCAAGAGATTTTTACATGAGGATTCTTTTGAGCATAAAAGAAAATACCATAATACCAGAACCTCATAGCTATAAACCAGGCTTCAAATAGGGATAGGGTAAATACTTTTTCATCAGCACACCTGCTACAAGGTGATTCCGCCGTGTATGCTACTCATCAGCACCTGTGGGCATTGCATTTAAACTCTGTGTGCGTGCGCGCATGTGTGTGTGTGTGTGTGTGTCTCGCGTGCGCGCATGTGTGTGCACACTGGTATTGGGGCTTGAACTCAGGACCTCCCACTCTCCTTTGGCTTTTTCCCTCAAGGGGCTGGTGCTCTTTCACTTGAGCTACACCTTCACTTCTGGCTTTTTATTCTGGTTAATTGGAGATAGTAGTCTCATGGGCTTCTCTGCCTACTATCCTCAGATCTGAGCCTCTTGAGTAGTTAGAATTCTAGGCATGAATTCCCAGCACCTAGCTTTGCATTTTGCCACTTGATATGAAGTAAAATAAAGGGTAAGTGAATGGATATCTCTCCGTGGAACTAGGAGCCGCTTATAATTAACTGATCATCTGCTTTAAAACTCCTTGAGGATACCCTTTCTTCCATTACTTAGCCAAAGGAAACAACTTGAATTTTAGCGTTTGTTCAAGTCAAATAGAATTAGAAAACAGTCTATTATTGTATCACACAAAACATTGCGAAACAAAGTTTGAATGATCTAGTTGCTTTCTATCACCTATTTGTATTTCTGCTCCACACTTTACATGGAACATCAACAGCCAAACGCTGTGGAGTTCTCAGTGGAACTGTGTAAATTTGCTCACTTCTAGGCCACATGCTGACATGAAAGGAAAATGCAGTGTGCTTGTACACCAAAGTGTTTTGTGAGTCACTTGGAGCTGCGGTAATTGATATCACGTTTCCTGCTTAACAAAGAGTAATTTCAGAATGAATATTTTCCTTAAACTCAGACAGGTCTGATCTTAATGAGAGTCGAAGTTGTTTTTTCTTTTGGGGAAGACTGAATAAAGCAAGTATCCATGTTAAAGGATCCATAACAAAAACATCTTAGGGTATCGAAGGCTTTCACTTGACCATAATAAAAATGTTCACTTTCTTTGTAGGTGAAAGTAAATAATGATTTTAATTATGAATTTTACAACAGTAGTTGGTCTTACATAAAACACACCTCTACAGAATATACATCAGCCAGCAGGCGCAAGTCCTTTTTCAGATCTTCATCGTCGAATTCACGGAGTTATACAACAAATACCAAGGAAATGTCCAGGAAAAAGGTTAGTATAGAACATCAGCTCACTTTTCTATAGTTTATTGGTTTTAACAGTTGTTGACATTGATAAAAATGAAAATGCATTTATTAAACAAATCAGCTTTCCTATTTAAATTAAGGTAGCAGTACTTCTTTAAGAAGAAATGTTTCAGGGCTGGGAAGGTGGCTCAGTGGTAGCGTGCCTGCCTTGCATGCCTGAGGCCCTGAGTTCGATTCCTCAGCACCACATAAGCAAAAAGAAGAACCATTTCTTTAAAGATACAATATTGTCTTGTTAATTCTCTTTGAACATTTATTGTTCCTTTTGTTTTCTCATTAGAATATTCTTTTTTTTTTGGTTCCGGTGGTGGGGCCTGAACTCTGGGCCTGGGCACTGTCCCTCAGCTCTTCAGCTCAAGACTAGCGCTCTACCACTTAAGCCACAGCGCCACTTCCGGCTTTTTTCTTTTTGTTTATGTGGTGCTGAGGAATCGAACCCAGGGCTTCATGCATGCAAGGCAAGCGCTCTACACTGAGCCACCTTCCCAGCCCTGTAGAACATTCTTATTTGAAAACAAAATAGAAGGTTATCTTGCATTATTCTATTTTAAATTATCCTAAATTTCTTTTTTCTTAAGAAAAAAAATCCCTTGTTTCTATTTCCGGGTGTTCATCTCGATAGATATTATTTTATATGATCTGAAGCACAGAAGCACTGTGCCTTTGTGGTCCTTCCTAAAAAGTATCCTCCTTTGGTCTCTTGGTGTGTGAATGTCTAGAGTCATATTTTTCATTTAGAATTATTGGCAAAGCTACATTAAGTGTCATATACAGTGTAAAAGTCCAATAATGCTTATATGTGTTAAATAAACTCTAGTTACAAGGTATGTGAATTGAATAGATTTTAATTCCTTATTTCTTTTAAATTAGCAATATTTTTATTTGAGGAATTGAAGACTTATTTTTTATTATTTTTTTTTTTTTTTTGTTTATTTTTTTGTTGGTCCTTGGGCTTGAACTCTGGGCCTGGACGCTGTCTCTCAGCTCTTCAGCTCAAGGCTAGCGCTCTACCACTTGAGCCACAGCACCACTTCTGGCTTTTTCTGCTTATGTGGTGCTGAGGAATCGAACCCAGGGCCTCATGCACGCAAGGCAAGCATCTACCACTGAACCACCTTCCCAGCCACAAGACTTAATTTTTAAATTCTTTGCTGTTTTGGATAGGGAAATCTGAGCACTTGCAGTGCATTGTAATAATTGGTATATACTTAGAAGAATTTATGAGGCTAATCTTTATATTCTGTATACTTCATCTCATTCTGAAAGTAGTGGTTTGAATAGTGAATCATATGAGGGAGGTATAAGGAATTCAGATTTTGTTTTATGACTAAAATGCTGACTGTGATAATATGATTTGTTAATACTTTTATAATTTCTATATTATGTTGGTTGTATGGAATGGATTTAGTATATAGTGTAGCAATCTTGACTTTCATCAAAGGAAAGGTTAATGTGTTTCATGTGTTTAAAATGACTCTTTTATAAAGTAACTTCACCTGTAAATGCTCTAGCATAGGTGGGAGATGAATTACTCAATCTCCTTGCTTATAAGTTATGATCAAGGTGTAGATGTTAGGAAACCACTATTTTATATGCTTATTTGTGATATTGCTTAGTAGTGATGACATTGATTCTTCTAGTTTTTCTTCTTGAAGAGGATTAGAGACTGAAGATGGTATGTGAAAGGAATAATATTTTTCCAATTTGAGACTTCCAAATTCCCTAGGTTACTTCATTTGGATAGGCCCAGAAGGCAACTCATAATTCATAAATAATAAGACTGAGTTGATTGGAGATGAACCCTAATGGAAACATTGGATAGGAAATTATTTTTATTTTTTAATATATATTTTCATTGTAAAGATACTGCACATGGGAATTGTTTTCATGATTAAAAAATCTTCTGTCTAAAACTTTCATTCCTTCCTATCCCCACAGAGTTATAAATTGTTAGTTATTCAGAATACTGTTGAAGTGGCTCAATTCATTAATAACAATCCAGAATCTTTACAACTTGCGGAGCCATTCTGGAAAGAACTTTCCCACCTACCTTCTCTGTATGACTATAGTGCCTACCGAAGATTAATTGACCTGTATGGGACACATTATCTGCACTCTGGATCCTTAGGAGGAGAATACAGAGTTATATTTTATGTGGACTCAGGAGAGATCAAACAAAGTGGTACGGTATTTAATTTTTTTTTATCTAAAAGAATTTCAGAGATTTTAAGAAGGGGAAATATCATGTACGTAAGTGATATTCTTGATCTTTAAAAATTGAAGGAGATTTATATTGCAAAGATCTCCAAAATTGCAAGAATTTATTAAAGTCTTCAAATTCTTACATGGCTTAAGAAATGTCTCTTTCCTCTTTGAATAATACTCTGAGTTAAGCCATTATTTTTGTTGTCTATCTCCAGAGAGTGTTGGATTTTTAGAATACTTTATAGTTTTTCCTGTTTCTCAAACTAAAGAGTATTTCTTGAGGAAGCTCAATGATATTCTAGGAATGAAAGCGTTTTAAATACATGTTCTGTTTACCTTTGTTCCTTATCATTAAAACTTCCTTTAAAACTATTTGCTCTGAATATCACCAGTTTGCTTATTACCTAATACTTGTAACAGTAGTTGAAAGTTATTAAATGTCTTCCCAGCAGAAATCTTCACTTCCACTCGTTGAGATGGGCACTATGACCCCTTTCCTGTGCACTCAGAGATAGAGACACTATGCTATCATGGAACTCTTCCAGGTCACGTAGGTTATAAGGATGCTACATAAACCTAGGTCGATTCCAGTGTCCTGCATCTTGTATACACATTTTTTCTAATTTGGGGAGGGGAGGGAAATAACAAAATGCTGAAATAAGGATACAGGATGAACCATTGTAACAATAAGATGCACAAGGGGGTTGGAGATTGGGTGGTGGGGGCGGGGGCGGAGGGAGGAGTTGGGGAGGTCAGGAGGGAAAGGATGGTAGGGGAAAAATAAAGGAGGGGTAACAATGCTGGATGAGGAAATGGACTCATTACCTCTAACCCCTCTGTAACAGTAACCCCTCTGTAAAATATCTTTACAATAATATATATATATATATAATATATATATATATATATTAAGAACAAAAAAACAAAAAACAAAAACCATAGATCGAACTGGCTTCACAGTTAGCTTTTCCCCCATGTCCTGGTGCTGCTAAATGACTCTACTTTTGTTAGAACCAGATCCCACCACTGAATTATGTTCTGAGGGGCTTGATATGGAGAAGAGGACTCTCTCCTTCTGTTCAGATGAGAGATTGGTGTGGAGCCTTCCCCTTCCTGACTTTGTCCTGTGGCTGGACGCTTCCTTCTCCATCCCAAGTCACTTCAACGTCTTGCTTTTCAGCCAGGATTCTGTGATAGCCTTGGAGAAAAACACAATTTCTTTAGATGAGACACAGACATGTTTTGTAGTGTTTCCTCATGGGTGAAATATAATGTGTTTCTGTTTCTATTAAATGAGCTGGGTCTTTTTTTTTTCCAGTTCTTTGACAGATAACATATCACTTGAATTTGAACTCTTCTAACCTCATAAGTTAAAATGAGTGCTCAAACATAGACTTTTGTAGCAAAGACAGTCATTATTTGTTCACATAATCAATCTGGCAAGTAGGTTGTTTTACACAGTTTCACTCCCTGCCCCTGTGTATAATAACATTTAAAAAAAATTGAAGAGGATTAAATAAATGAAAACAAAGTTGGTAAAATTTTCCTTTGGGTAAAATTTTACTCCTGGGCAGTTTATGCTCTTCCTAAAGCTCTAATTTAAATACAATAAAAACAGTGACTTTATTCTGGGCCTGAGTACTGTCCCTGTGCTCTTCAGCTCAAGGCTAGCGCTCTACCACTTGAGCCACTTCTGGCCTTTTCTGCTTATGTGGTGCTGAGGAATTGAACCCAGGGTCTCATGCATGCAAGGCAAGCACGCTATCACTGAGCCACCTTTCCAGCCCTGTGATATTATTTATACCCACAATGTTTCTAAAAGATGGAGAGGCTAATCTATACCAACATATACTATTTTGTTACAGCAGACAGAAAACCACATACAACTTCCTCTTTTGAGGAAATTCCTCCTCTTTTAGTTTATACTCTATCTCCATAAAGGCTTCCATAGTCTTTATTATCTTGTTTTATCATTTTTAATCACACTCACAAAGACCAATTCAATGCATCATGGTGTTCTTTCTGAGAAAAAAAATCTAAATTAATACTTGTTTCACTTATAAAAATAAAAAAGTAATCTTGAGACTGTTCTAATGTAGTTAGTTAAAATTATATCAAAAATAAATGTTTAGTCAAACATATTAGTACTATTACATTTTCAGTAAAATATATTATTATTATTTTGCAGTGCTGGAAATTCAACCTAGGGCCTTGTATATGCTATGTGTTTATTCCACCACTGAGTTATACACCAGCTCATTATATCTTTCTGTTCTACCTACATAATTTTATTGGTGACACGCTATTTAATATTGAATAGAAATGGCCTGATCCTTTGGTTGCGTGTTACAGGAAGGAGATATAAGAAAACACAGATGCCAATGACAGAGAGACTATCAGTAAAATTAAATTTTAGGAATTCTAATAGTATCAGAATCCAGTTTTTGGGATCTCCAGTAGTGGCTGGAAGTCACTATATTCCTATGTTTTCCTATTTGTTCTAGCCTACGAAGCTGGTTATAATTCTTTGGGTTTTTTCCATTTTGAATTCCCCTAGCTTTTATGGGGAAATGCATCTTTGTGTGTGTGTGTGTGTGTGTGTGTGTGTGTGTGTGTGTGATTTGTGGGGCTTGAACTCTGGGCCTGGGTGCTATCCCTCAGCTCTTCAGCTCAAAGCAAGCACTCTACCACTTGAGCCACAGTGCCACTTCCGGTTTTCTGAGTGTGGTTAATTGGAGATAAGAGTCTCGTGGACTTTCTTGCCTGGGCTGGCTTGGAATCACCATCCTCAGATCTCAGCCTCCTGAATAGCTAGGATTACAGGCGTGAGCCACTGGTGCCCGGCTCTGTTTCCTCTCCCTATTTTTTTTCTTAAAGCTAATAGGAGTATAATAACAAAAGCTAAGATTTTTTTTTAAACTTTGGCCCTTCAATAACATTTGAAAATGTACAAATCACATCACTCTTCAGTAAACAGCCACAGTGACAGGAGACAACTTCTCAATCTTGCTCCTACGCCTGAGTACATCTCAAAGGTGGTCTTTATGCAGAAATTAAGCACAACATTTTTATGTGAAATTATTTTTATTAAAGATAATGCAGGCAGAGAGATTGAGAACAACTAGATAGTGTGGAATAGGTCTCTTAAAACAATACAGTGATTATTACAATTAGCTTGCAGATGGTGGGAATACTCCTTAATGAATGAGGGTTAGTAAGAATTCCAGGAACATTTAAATACATTTTTTGCATCCACTCCCTCAGGTTCAGGTTCAAGAGAGGAGAAGGGGTGCAGTTCCTCTGATTTCAAGTTTATCTTTACATCATCGCGATCCAAATGCAAGGAACTGGAAGATGCATTAAAATCAGCTTCAGGTAAACAAGAAGAAAGACTGGAATTACCACAGTAGTCACTAGCTCCTTTGTGGCTAATTTTTACTTTCCAATAACTTTTGAAGTGTTAGCAGGGTTTCTACTTTGCATTTTTCTTCCATTTAGTTTTGTTTGTGAACCAGGGTGTCTCAAGATTGCTCAACCTGGCCTAGAACACCTGTGTTCAACCTGGACACGCCTCCCAAATTGCTGAGAACACAGATGAACACACTTAGCTTGTCTTACTTGATCATATTTGCCTCTGCTCTCTCTTTCCTATATCATGATAGTGACACATTATTCCCGGTTCAGGCTATTTCTTCTGTATTGTAATGTATTCTCAGGAATACTACTTTCTTCCTCCATAAAAATGACAGTGGAATGAATGGTGATTAAGAACTACAGTGTCTAACAAGCCAGTCCCTCTTGTGTGTGCCTCTCCAGACCCTCATCAGTGTTGGCTAATTCTTTTCCTCTAGAACAGGCAGCACAAGGTTAACAGTGAAACTAAATGTACTGTGTTTTTAGTCCATGTCTGGTTCTCAGTAGCTATGAGCTTGAACACCCTATGTGTGCCACAGTGCCCCTGTCTGATTCAAGGGAGGAATGCAGAGGCTAAGTTGTAGAGAAAGAAGAAAGATGGAAAAGGAATGACCTGTCAAGATAAGAAACAGAAGAGCTGGAAAATAATGAGAGAGAGAGAGAGAGAGAGAGAGAAAGAGATAAAGACAGAGAGAGAGACAGAGAGAGAGAGCACAATGATAGAAATCAAGTAAAAATATGAAAAAAATGTTTGTTGGACGAGGAGATTAAAATTTACTTTCCATGAAAGGAAGAGATTCATCGTGTGATGGGGAAGGAAATGCGACTTCAATTCATGCTGGGAAGCTATGGACTGGGAAGAATTAGACTTTCTGTCCTCCTGGGTAATGACAGAAGTTGGGGTGAAGACTGATGCAAGTGTGTGGCCAGCAGGAAGCCGGACCCCCAGATGTCAGTAAATGACCACAGGAAGGAGGAAGACAGAGTAGCGAAGCCAGGTTTGTGTAGTCACTCACTTGCCATACCTTGATCCAGGCATTGAGGTACAAAAATCATCTTCAGTGTACCACCAGCGTGAAAGAGGAAAGACTTGAATTAAGGGAAAATAATGTTCTGGTCATACAACTGGAAATGAGGCTTTTCATCAGCTGCATTGGCAATTAAAGGCTGCTCAGTAATTTTATGTTATTTGAATCGAACAAAGCACTATGTATTCAGCACAATTTAATTTTTTTCTTAATATATAGGTTTTATTGTAAAGCTACTGTACAGAGGGGTTACACAGTTACATGAGCAAGGAAAAGAGTCCATTTCCTATTCAATGCAATTTTAAATATTTTTTTTTCTCACATGCTGTCCAATGTATTCCTCCTACCTAAGAAATAGGCATTACTAATTAATTCCTACCTATTAAACAGACAGGGGCACTGTGGCACAGATAAGGCTGTTCAAGCTCATAGCTACTGAGAACCAGACATGGACTAAAAACACAGCACATTTAGTTTCATAGTCTAGCTTCACTGTTAACCTTGGGCTGCCCTTTTCAGCAGAGCACTGATGAGAGTCTGGAGAGGCACATGAGAGAAACTGCTTGTTACACTGTGGTTTTGAAGCAGCTATGATAGGGTGATGATTCTCAAACTTTGGTGCACATCAAGATCCCTCTGGGAAGCCTATTAGAATGTTGATTCCAAGGCTTATTCTCTGAGATGTTCTTCAATTAGTCATACTTGGGGTTAAATCTGCAGCCTGGTTGTCCTCCATAGTTCTGGGCCTAAACTTTGTCATGCACCACATTTAAAAGATACCTATTTGCATATCAAAGCCATAACTAGCAATGAAGGTGAGGAAGCACTCAGGTAATTTATTAAAAATATCAGGCTTTCATAATTTCTCATTGTATGAAAGTACAATGTGCTCACTTTGAGAAATCACAAAATTTGGACAGTTGTAAGAAAGGAAATGGAAATCACTCAAGATGAGATCTGTACAATTAGGAATTTCTAGTCATGACCTATGTAAGAACCAGTTATAAATGGAGATAAAAATATTTCTGAAATTATGAGGCATATAAATGGAAAAAAAGAATTCAATTAACATTCAAACTTTTCAGAACACTTATCATGTGTTAGGTAATGTATTCCTATTAATTAACAGCTCCTTTTTGTTTCATTGTTAGTAGACCAGATACAAGGAAATTTTTTCTCTCCAACACTTTAATACAAAAATTTTCAAACATGCAGAAAAGTTGGAAAATATACTGATTATTAATCATATACCTTTCTCCTATATATAACAATTAGTATTTTGACATTTTTCTATATCTATATATAATATAAATAATATGGACTGATTATGTAGCAGCATATATTATGTATTTTAAATGCCTTTTTTGTTTTTGTGGGTTGTGGGGCTTGAACTTAGGCCCTGGGTACTGTCCCTAAGCTATTTTGCTCCAGGCTAGTGCTCTATCACTTTGAGCCATAGCTCTACTTCTGGTTTTTGAGTGGTTAATTGGAAATAAGGGTCTCATGAGGACTTTCCTGTCCAGGCTGTCTTTGAACCATGATTCTCAGATCTCAGCCTCCTGAGTAGCTAGGATTACAAGTGTGAGCCACTGGCACTTGCTTTAGAACCACTTATTAATTGCTATTATAAAGGTGATACACAGAGGGTTTACCATTATGTAAGTCAGGTTTATAGGACCATTTGAAAGTAAGTTTTAGACAATATGATATTTTACCTGTAAATATAGGATGCATCTTGGAAGAATGACATTTTCCTTCAAAATGTGAACATTGAAAACATTAACAAAACTTTTGTAATATCAGCTACTGTCAAACAGTGGATCTGTTAAAAAAGAAATGTACTCTTTACCTGACTTTCATAATGGTAACCCTTCTGTATATCACCTTTACAATAATAAAAAAAGAAGAGGTCATGTGATGAACCATTATTAACATGTCATTATTACCTAACCCTCGTTTACCTTGGGGTTGCTGACGGTGGTGCACCTTTTATGGGTTTTGATAAATAGGTAATGACACATAGCTGCCATTGTAGTGATACACAGAAATCATCTGTGCTCTGCCTATTTGTCCACTCTACCCCCACATCACTCAATTTTTTTTTTTACTGTCTCAATGGCTTTGCTTTTCCTAGAATGCCCTGCAGTTTGGTGGCATTAAAAAAATACTCTGCGGACTTTTCTCATTTTCATCTTATTTGTGGATTCTTAGTTCACCTGTTTTCTTCATTGTAGGAACCCAGAGCAATGTGCTGCGAGGAGACCCATTTATCACAGGGGGAGAAGCAGCATTTGTAGCTGGTCTTAGTTTCCTAGATTTGGACAATCCTGCTGGAAACAAAAGGCGATATTCTGCCTGGGCACAATCGGTGACTAATCTTCCCCAAGTCATAAAACAAAAGGTATGTGATGCTCCGCTTAAAACAGTAGGAAGCAGTCATGTTTATTTTCATTGGGAAATGAAATGAAATGAAATCAGGGTTCTGAAACAGAACTGGTTATAATTAGCATTTTCTATATTCCAATTATGCTTCATATAGTAAAATGAGTGCATACATAATACTAGGAAACAGAAGGTATTTTAGCTGCTGAATTCACATTTGTGTTTTGATGGTTAAATGTTTTGTAAATCCCAAGAGAAATTTTTAACTTTTGCATTTTTAACTTTTGACCTAAATTTGATTATATTTCCTTTGGCTTTCTAATTCAGAAAATTTACAGTTTTAAACTTAATTTTTGATTTTTACAAGAGAAAGGAATGTAGACTTTTTGCTCTTCCATTTGTCCAATCACCTTCTTTTCTGTGGTCATGGTTCATGGGCTCCTGAATTCTTGTAAACTCAGATAATATCAAGTTGTCTGGCATAATTTGGGATGTTTTATTGATTCAGTAGCTTCTTTTGTAGAGCACAACACATATATTCCTTAAAAGCACTCAGCTATGCAAAATTGCACGATAAAGAGAGAAGGACTTATAGGAAACTAGAGTTAGGAGACATAACATTCAAAGACATCTGATCTGCTGGGCATCATCATGCATGCATCTAATCCTAGTCCTTGAGAGGCTGAAGCAGCAAGGTGGCAAATTTGTAGTCAGCCTAGGCTTAGCTATACAGTGAGACCCTGACTCAAAACAAAACAAAACAAAACAAAAGAAAACAAAAACACCTCTCTTCCCTGCAAAAAGAAAAAGAAACACCAACTGTAATGTTGATTATATAAAAAAATATCCTTCTCCCATGAATCTATCCCACCCCCCCCATCCTCCCAAGTTACCTTATTCTGTTTTCACATTGAGTACTATGATTGTACTCACCTAGCCTTCTCTCCATTCATCTACCCTCTCCCCTTAAACTCTACCCACCTCAGGCAAAACACGTTTCAACTTTCTGGTATTCATTTTGTTAAACTGTCAGTTAACTGTTCAGTTAAATCCATTGGAATGCACTCTTAGGTATACCATACCTTAGTCAATTTGATTGTGTAGATATACATATGGTCCTGTATATGTTTCTATATATGTTTACAATTTAGATCTAACTTCCACATATGAGAAAAAACAAACAAACAAACCATGTACCATTTGTCTCTTTGGGCCTGACTGACTTCACTAACCCTAATTTTTTCCATCCATTTCCCTGCAAATGACATTGTATTCTTCTTCCTCATGGTGGAATAAAATTCACATAGATGCACATATATTCATATATCTGTATACATATGGATATATGCTTAATCTACTCTGTTGTGGGATATCTTTGTTGTTTCTGTAATTTGACTAGGTAGCCTGGCTTTACAACGTGTTAAATTATTAAGAAATGAGTCCATGCTACAATAAATATAATACACTGCCTAGAAAAAGGCTACAGGAAAGGTTTCAGATTGTGAGTTAACAGGAAGTGGAAGAAGGGAAATTAGAAATCTGATGGAAAGTTGTAATACCAGATGAATGGATGTAGTTTATAATACACAAAATATCAACGCAGATGTTTGAGGTAACTTTCTACCTGTTCAGTTCATGTATTGCTATGTAGACTAGTTCAGCAGCATGTGGTTTTCTATGTACATCCTATTTTTCTTGGACATAAGGTTGTACGTAAGAAAAGGCAAAACATTCAATATGTTTGGGTCTTTCCTCATTTGTCAATCTCAACAGAAGCAATTCACATTTTCAAAATGAATGCTATAGAAGGACTGGTTTTATGATCTATTTCATTTCCATGGTAATCAAGCTATGTCTCAGGCAAAACCTAATTTTAAACAATTAAGATACTTGTCCATATTTTATAAACAAATAAACAAAAAAACCCAACCCAAAAAACTACAACAGCTCCTCAAGAACCTTCTGGCTGTTGCATTCACACATTAGACTCTGTGTAAGGAGTGCAGGGTGAATTTTTCCTGGATGGTCTTTGTTTTATTTTTGAGACAAGGTCTTGCTACATATCCCAAGCTGACCGGAAACTCATGATCCTCATGCCTCACCTATTTACCTGGATTATAGGTAGGAATCACCGTAGATGATGTTCCTGGAAACTCGGAGGCCACCATTCATGTTGGAGATTACCTTTGTTCATCATTACTGCTGTAGACATTCTATAGAGAAATTCTAAATTAGCAATGAGGGGAAAAACAGGGATTCTTTCATCGACCCAAGGACGTGCTTTTCCATACAGGACCATAAGCCACCCTAGACCCAATGTATTCCCTGGGCAAGAAGGCACCAGGGAAAGAACAGAGGTGTGCAAGCAAAGGACGAGTCAAGGGCAGGTACTTCTAAGAGCCTCTTCCCAATTATATGTTAGTGATATTAGAGTGACAATCTAAAAACCTGCCCATGATGAGACACACTGCAGAAACTGGCCATGTCACAAGGCAGAGCCATTTTGCTCCTGGGAATTCAGGCTGTTTAAATTTAGCCAGTACATCTGTGAGCTCCAAAGTTTCTGAAATAATCCACACAGAGTAATAATGTCTATGTGTTATAAATTTCTCCAGGAAAGAGTCTGTGGTCTCCACCAAAGAGATATTGAATCTCTCAGAGTCAGAAATTTTACTTCTAAATTTAATAACACTTGTTTCTTTGATGTAATTTAAATGTATTTCTTTTTCTTCCATCCTGTTTGGGCAGTGATAATGTATTGTCTTGCAGATAATCTTCCATTAACTAGAAAATGGATATTCTGTGTGTTTGCTTGCTTGCTTTCTTCCTTCCTTCCTTCCCTTACTACTTGATATGCAGCTCCACTTCGGGTTTTTGTTAATTGGAGATGAGAGTCTCATGGACTTTCCTGCCTGGGCTGACTTTGAATGGTGATCCTCAGATCTCAGTTTCCTGAGTAGCTAGGATTACAGATGTGAACCACTGGTGGCCAATGGTGGTTTCTTCTTCTTCTTTTTAATGTTTTAATTTCATGCATACACATAAGATACAAGAAATTCTGTCTGGATTCTAATATTTCCTAGGTTATAATTTTGTTGCAAAGACAGTGAATCGCCTTCTTTGTTTTTATAAGATCAGTAAACAATTACACAGCAGTCACCCTTTATCTGTAGTTTTACTTTCCTTAGTTTTAGGTCAACTGTGGTCTGAAGATAGTGCATGGAAAATTCCGGAAATAATTCATAGATTAAAACTTCTGTTATAGTTGCTCCATTTTATTATTAGCCATTGTTGTTAATCTCTTTTATGTTTAATAATAAATTTTATCTTAAGTATGTACATATAGGAAAAGCACATATTCTCTAAGGGCCAAGGGACTACTGTAATGCTGTGAGTGGTTTTCCTTTTGTTTGAATGAATCTTCTGTCGATGTGTGAAAAGAGACATTCTCACCTAAATCTCTGAGCTTCACAACTCTCTCTTTCTTTACATGTGTAGCTGACACCTTTATATGAGCTGGTAAAGGAAGTACCTTGTGCTTCTGTGAAGAGATTGTACCTGAAACGGGCTCTCGAGGAGTATCTGGATGAATCGGACCCCTGCCATTGTCAGCCTTGCCAAAATGGTGGCATAGCCACCGTGGCCGGGACCCAGTGTCAGTGTCATTGCAAACCATACACATTTGGCGTGGCATGTGAGCAAGGAGTTCTGGTAGGGAATCAAGCAGGTCAGTGTGCTAGTTTTTCTCTCGTTACAGTAGACAGATGGCAAGGAAATGACCCTTTCCTCTGTCCCTAAAATGCACTGCTTTGTGAGTGAAGAAGTGAAGACACATGTGAGGTAGAAGGAGGCCAGGATGGGCCAAGTAGATTGAAGAAGGATGCTGGAAGGTGGTAAAGCTGGTGAATTAGAGACATTTCTTCTGTTTACTGCATTTTCTCACTTTATGTATCACCAGCCCTGGGATTTGACAATTGAGAGGACCTTGTAGGTTATATTGTCTTCACACCAAGCCAGTGTTTTAGATACAGGAACATACTTGTCTTATTGAGGGACTGTTGGGATACCAAAAGCACCTGGACTAAGTGATAAGACCAAGTTAACATCTGGATGTGGCTATCGGCAGCCATGGCACCAAGAAGCACTGCATTGAACCACTTTGAGATGCCATGTCTACTAAATGGAAATGGTCATACTTCCTGGCCACCTTGCTTCCTTGTTGAGAGAAGTAAAGATAAATGTCCATGAATGTGCTCTGAAGCAGTTATAAAACCCCCAGCACAAATATAGCCTTAATATGGACATCCTGTTTTGACTGTTGTAGGAAACCTCAGGGAGCAGAGAAAAGGCAATCAGATTCCAGAATTCTCTCTCCCCCATCGTAAACACACTAACGGGAGGCAGCATTCGAAGCTTCCAAGTCTTCCTCTGGCAGAGTTTACTGAAGGGCTTCTCTCTTACAGGAGGGGTTGATGGAGGCTGGAGTTGCTGGACCACTTGGGGTCCCTGTGTTCAAGGGAAGAAAACAAGGAGTCGAGAATGCAATAACCCACCTCCTAGCGGGGGTGGAAAGGCCTGTATTGGCGAAACAACTGAGAGCAGGCCCTGCCAGGCCGAGGAGCTGGAGCATCTGCGGTAATGGAGACCAGACTGATGCACGAAGAGATAAGGGAGGGAGAATGCAGTTAAAAAAGAAGGAAAAAGCAATGCATAGCCTACACAATTAAAAATAGTGAGGGAAAGGGCGGTGAGGGGGAAGGAGGGATGAGAATGTTCAAAAGGGGTCACATGAACCAAGAAGCATTGTATTCACAAAACGCTTTGTTGGGTGGCAACTCCTTTGTCCAGTACTTAAAGATCAACCTGTCAACCAGCCAACCAACCAAGACACAGTTATGTGAAGCACAGCGCCCTCTGCAGTAAGCATGGAGCAACGTATGGCAGCATTAGAAAGATTTAAAGTTAACTCGCTGCAATTTAACTCAATGAGATATATGTTTAATAATTTTGTGACATCTCTAAGGATCCCTAACTCTTAATTACTTTTATTTTCATTACAAATTTAATTTTACATTGAAAAAAAATTGACAGTGTTGGGGTTTGAACTCAAGACCTCATACTTGCTAGACTGAAGCGTTAACACTTGAGCCAGGCCCTCAGCCCCGATACAGAAATAATTCTGTGTTAAAGGAATTTCAGAATCCAATAGCAAGAAAAAAAGTAGGTTCTGAAACAGATAAACTCTATAAATCACATACCTTGTTCAAAGGCCTTCTTTTTGTTTTCTTTCTATTTGTTTTTCTTATTATTGATTGGGTAGCTATTTAAACTATTGCATTTTAGAGGATGAGTTTATATTTGAATTTTCTACAATAGAATGTGATCATGTGTCTGGTTCTGAAAATGATAAGTACCTCATGAACATAGTTGTACTTTTTATTTATGTACCTTTGACACAAGGGAAAAATTCAGCATAGTACAAATATTTAACTGTATTAACAACCACATTAACCGATTTTCTCTTACAGATTACTTGAACCACATTGTTTTCCTTTGTCTTTGAGTCCAAAAGAATTTTGTCCACCACCTCCTTCCTTAAAAGATGGATTTGTTCAAGTTAGTTACATGAGATACTTTTTTCTTTGTACTGTTCAAATTTTATTTTTGCCACCTGACCAGAATCTATTTTATGCGTTCCTGATGAAAAAGTGCTAAAATATTTCTTATTTGTATTTGTATTTTAGTTTTAGTGTTGATGGCTTTTAGTGTGTATTTTTCCTTCTGTGGTCCAAGAGGATTGAAGTTTTGAAGAAGGAAAAATCTCCCAAGCTTCTGTTGAATGGGATATCAATATGGCCGCCCACTGAATAAGAAATATAATCCTGTTGGAAAGCTACTCAGCCTTGCCATTCTGAACAGTAGAGTCCCAGTCTATGAACAAATTCTTCAACTTAAAGAACTTTTCTTATTCTTGCCACTGAGAAAAATATTTTAAAAAATGGACTTGTGATGAGTATTTCATTCCAGGAGTCAGCAAATAGTTTGTTCAGGCAGTGTCTGATGACATACACATCACTGTACTTTGAGTGATTTTCTTGTTCAGAAAGAAACACTATCACCAGCTATTGAAACACTATCACCAGCTATTGAAGGGACTTTATTAGGCTTTGCAACATTAGGAGTAAAGACTGTTCTTAGTCTTATGATGAAGCCTTGGCCCCAAATTTTACCAGAGTCTCTTCATGACTCATGAAGAAGATATAGTTCATTAATATACTCTTAATTCTGCCAGCTCTATTTTTTTTTGTGGGTCATGGGGCCTGAACTCTGGGCCTGGGCACTGTCTCTCAGTTCTTCAGCTCAAGGCGAGTGCTCTGCCACTTGAGCTACAACACCACTTCCGCCAGCTCTATTTTTTGAATGAAGGACTTAACTCTCAAGTTTCAGGTCTTTGAGCATACAGTCACTGAGAGTTTATACAAGTTTCACCAAATGTAAGAGAGAATGAGAAATAGAAAGGGAGAGGGGGGACTGGGAAGGTGGCTCAGTGGTAGAGCGCTTGCCTCACATGCATGAGGCCCTGGGCTCGATTCCTCAGCACCACATAAGCAGAAAAAGCTATAAGTGGCGCCATGGTTCAAGCGGTAGAGTGTTAGCCTTGAGCTGAAGAGCTGAGGGACAGCGCCCAGGCCCAGAGCTCAGGCCCCACTATTGACAAAAAAAAAGAAAGAAAGGGAGAGGGACTAATGAAGAGAAGGGAAGATGCAAACATAGGGATTTAACATTTTTAATGCCTGTTCTGTTCCACTACAGTCAGTCATAATCCATGCAGTTCCTGAATATAACATGTTTAGAGAATAAGGCCCAGAAAATACAAACCGTAGCAAACCAGAGCTTTTTTCATACCAAACTTTAGAATATATGGTGCCTTTTTAGGAGCCAGGGTTTTCAAATGCTCTTCTACAAACTGACCATAAAGAAAGTCACCCTGTAAACTTAAAAATAGAGACTGTTACTTGCCCCCTGTTCACTTTGCTGATTCAGTAGTCTTGGTGTAGAGCTTGAGAATGTACTTTTTTTGTCAGTCATGGGGCTTGAACTCAGGGCCTGGGTGCTATCCCTGAGCTCTTTTGCTCAAAGATAGTGTTCTACCACTTGTGCCACAATGCCAGTTTCAGTTTTCTGGTGGTTAATTGGAGATCAGAGTCCTGTGAGCTTTCCTGCCTGGGCTGGCTGAGTAGCTAGGATTATAGGCATGAGCCCCAGTGCCTGTCCAAGAGTGTACTTTTTAATTGTTACAAACTGTTCTGATAGAGAGCTAAGTTTGGACAGTGTAAAGTTAAGCTATTCTCACTAGAAGTCCCCTAGGTAGAGGAAGATCCCGAGGCTAGACTCATAGACAAACATGTGATCTTCTTGATTTTCTTCACAGCTTGACATCAGTTTGGGCCACCTGTCATTGGCCAATTTCTGTGGGAAAGGACTAGCAGGAATGGTAGAGAGAAGGGACCAGGAAGAGTTGTTTTAATTCCTAGAAAAATGCCAATATAAGTACCAGTTCCAAACCCTTCCTGCTCCAAACTCAAGGTTTTTCACCATGTCCCTAGGCAGCTGAGAGCCAGAGGATGAGGAAAAGAACCAAGAACAATCCAAAATAAGCGTAATTATCCCCAAGAGGCTCACACCTTAATCTGTAAGAGCTTATCTCCTCAAATTCTAGGCTGTTGGGTACCCTCAACTGATCACCCGCAGCAATGCATCTTTCCTTACAGATTGGAGTAAGAGCTTGAGGTGGGAGAAGGTCAATATTATGTTTCCCTTAAAGCCTCCATGAGAACAAACTTTCTGAGGCTGTTGTTAGGATTTAGACATTCCTGTGTGTTTATGCTGGCATGTATTATATCATATTATTAATGAACAGCACATAATACCTTAACATGAGAGGACTTTCAGAATCGGATGATAAATTACCTTTTTCTTTTCTTTTCTTTTGTGTGTTCTTAAAAAAACGAGTTTTTTATTGTGAAAATACCATATAGAGAGGTTACAATTACATGAGCAAAGTAATGAGTACTTTTCTTATCAAGCATTGTTGCCTCCTCCTTTGTTTTTCCCCTCCCATCCCTGCCCTCCCATCTCCACCACTACACTCTCCTACCCCCCAAATTACCTTTTTTTCTAAAAGTGTAAGAGAAAGATGTTGTTTGAATAGTTTCAACTAAAGTAATTTTAAGAAACTGTTTCGTGTAGATCTTGGTATTTTTAGGAGCAATCTATACATTATAGTACCGTGGCATTAATGACTTTATTTCAATTATCAATGGCACTGCTGTTGTTAATAGGACTATATAAAGAAAAAAGTTTCAACCACAATTTTCTAAATTAATTGTTTGAATGTCAGTGGTCGATGATTTAAACAAACCAATTGACAGGGCAAATAATAATACAGAGAGTTATTTTGTAGTACAAAACAGACAAACTATATTTCTCTTCATCCTTTATTTTGATTTAGGGAGAAGGTGCCACATTTCCTGTTGGGAAAAACATAGTATATGCTTGCAATGAAGGATACTCTCTTATTGGAGATCCTGTTGCCAGATGTGGACAAGATTTACAGTGGCTTGTTGGGGAAATGCGTTGCCAGCGTGAGTGGCCTTGGTTGTACTATGTAACTTTAGATAGGAGAATAATGAAGAAATAATAAGAAACAAATGAGTCAAGATAAATATCTACCCATGTTAGCCCCAACTATGATGAGGTAAACTACCATATATATACCCTGTGTCTTGACCTTCTTCTTCTGAAAGGCTGATATGATTCCATCTATGTCTCAGGAGTGATTCTCTAGCTAGTTATGTCCCCAATCAGTGACGTCAATTTTATTGCAATTTTAATGTTCTTGGTGCAAATTAGAAGGGGTCTTCAGGCTAAGATAACCAGTACATAAAAATCTATTTATTTATTTTTGGTTTCTGTTTTGCTATTTAATAGGATGATACATACTTATTTTGACTTTCTCACATTGCGGTTTATAATTGTAGCAGTTTTCCTTCCTACAGATGCATGTTACCACAGTGATTTAACCATTCTTTCCTGATGGGTGCTAACTCTGTTAAACAGAGTACTCTACAATTCAATTACTAGAGTTGATTATCCTACTAATCCTTAAGCACATTGGATGGTATACTGTTTAGATATAATCATAGGATTAAGAGTTGCTTATCTATTTGGTCATTCTGTTTGATCATATAACATCAATCATGGCTTCTATCTAAGTTGGAATATGTTTGCTCAGCAAGTAGATAGACAAAGCTAGAGGAATATATTTTCCAAAAATCAGTTGTCTGCTCTTTAGGAAGAAAGCCGTATATATCATATATGTGTGTATGTGTGTGTGTGTATGTGTATGTGTGTTTGTATGACCCTATTTATACACATATATAGGATCATATATATATATATATATCAGACTCTGATAGGGATATTCATATATGTATATATGCTGTATACACAGAAGATATAAAAATTATATACATATGTGTATAAAACTTTCTTTTTCTTCCTTTTTCTAATATTTTCTATTGATTTAACTTACTCTTTTAATAATTCTGTTGATTTATTTCCTAGATTTCATTTTTAATTTTAGATACTATACTTTTTTCTGCTTTAGAAAAATACTTAGTTATTCTTTAAATTTTAAAAATTTCTTTAAAGGCTGGGAATGTGGCTTAGTGATAGAGTGTCCATCATGCATGAATCTCTGGGTTCGATTCCTCAGTACCACATGCACAGAAAAAGCCAGAAGTGGTGCTGTGTTTGAAGTGGTAGAGTGCTAGCCTTGAGCAAAAGAAGCTCAGGGACAGTGCCCAGGCCCTGAGTTCAAGCCCCAGGATTGGCAAAAAAAAAAAAAAGAGTGGTTAATAAAAAAAATCTTTTTTTTTTAAATTTTATTTTATTTTATTTGTGAACATACTGTACAGAGGGGTTACAATTACATGGGCAGGATAATGTATACATTTCTTACCAAGCATTGCAGCCTCCTCCTTTGCTTACCCTTCACATCCCTTCCCAGCCTCCCCCTTCCCCCCCAATCCCAATCCTTCTCCTCCCCCCCCCCCACTGACGTTGTAAAGCTCGTTTTGGACATGACAACTTGTACTTCTCATTGTTGCAACAGTACAGTGGGGTTTCAATGAATACTTTCTAATTCTTAATTGAAAGTCACCATCTTGTCGTTATCTTTGCCAATTGTGAAGACCCATATCTATTGATTTTGTTGTTTAAATCTCTTCTATGTTGATTGATAGTGTGTGTGTGTGTGTGTGTGTGTGTGTCTGCGCGCGCGTGCGCGTGTGTGCCATTCTCAGGGCCTGGGCACTGTCCTGAGCTTTTTTGCTCAAGTCTAGTGCTCTACCACTTCTGAGCTACAGCTCTGCTTCTGGTCTTTTTGGTGATTAATTGGAGATAAGAGTTCATGAACATTCCAGTCTGGGCTGGCTTTGAACTGTGATCTTATGGTCTTCACATCTCAGCTTCCTAAGTAGCTAGGATTACAAGCTTGAGCACTGGCTCCAGCTCTATTACCTTTTTTGTTGTTGAATTTCAGTCAATAAAAAAATATGGAATAATTCATGAATTTGCATGTTATTCTATATGCTAATCTGTATCACTCCAATTTTAGCATATATGTGCTACGGAAGAGGCTACATCTTTTGTCTTTTTGACTATTAGATTAAAATGTTGACTAAATTCTATACTTTATGCATAAGAAATTGGAGATATAAGTTAAGGCTTTGGACAATGTTACTTTCCTTTAGAGGAGATGAGTCTTGTTTTTGGCAAGCAATCAAGTTGTTCTACCTTTATTCTAAGGATGTACCTATCCCTTAGGAGATCCCAATGAAAGTATGGACATCCTAACCTGGATTTCTCATTTTTTATGGTGCTGGATCCCAAGTTTTGCTTGCTTAGCATTTTTTGTCCCCAGTTGAGCTTTTTTCATTATTTCCATTTATTTTCCCCTTCAAATTTACCAGCACCTCAAGGAGGCCAGCATTAGCAAATGTCATCACCATCTTCAACTTCCCTTTGTTCTGGAATGTTGGACCTTCAGACTTGAACTAGTTGGGTGGCTCTCTGATTCTCACAGAAACATTTTTTTTTTTTTTTGGGTCCGGTCGTGGGGCCTGAACTCTGGGCCTGGGTGCTGTCCCTCAGCTCTTCAGCTCAAGGCTAGCACTCTACCACTTGAGTCACAGCGCCATTTCCGGCTTTTTTCTTTTTGCTTATGTGGTGCTGAGGAATCGAACCCAGGGCCTCAGTCATGCAAGGCAAGTGCTCTACCACTGAGCCACCTTTCCAGCCCCCACAGAAACATTTTTTCTTTTAATTTTGTACAGATTTATTTGTCTTGGAAGGGGAGAGATTAGTGAAACCAACAATTCTGACATGATGCAAACAAGTCCAATGATAGATATTAGCACAGCATGAAGGCACAATTTGAGCCTTGTGTTTTGCTGTATCTTCTTCAGTGTATAACACATTTAGCAAAATACAGGTACCTAATAAGTGTTGTTTTTAAATAAATGAATGAATGAAGTTTCTGAAAAAACATATGACATAAATAAAGCAATAGTTTATAGAATATTGTTTGAAGTTCACTAAAGAGATTGCAAAATGGGTTTTATTTCAGTGTTGGAGATTGAACCCCAACCTTATGCATTCCAGACAGGTGCTCTAATACTGAGACGAATCTAAAAAAATCATGATGACCTCTATAACTATGCATATTTCTCTGCATATTATTTTGAAGTAGAAGATTTGAGCCAATGAATTTAATTGAGTAAGGAAGAATAAAGATGGGAAACCAAAGAACACCAAAGACTTTTGTGGTTGCAAGGCTATAGGTCTTTTGAAAATTTCAAAGAGGATCATATCTAATTAGAGTTGTGCTATGTGAATGAGGCAGCTCTTGGGACTTCACAAACTGGCGCGACAGGTGGCAGCTATGAAGACTGATTTTAGCAGCAGACTGTGCCTTGGGAATTTCCTAAGTTTATTCATAAGTTGTCACACTGCTTTGAGGGCAGGAGTGATAGTTATTCATTGGTCAATTTCATGTCAGGATCCACGCTCCCTCCACCCTCTAAGAGTATAATAATCACTTCTCCCTCTTCTGCACTGAAAAAGTAAAATAGTTATTAGCATCATTAAAAGCTGTTAAAAATGGCTTGGGAAAGCAATGACCCTTGAATGGTGTTCTCTCTTATTTTTAGAACTCTCCTGTGTTCTACCCGAACTGCCGAATAGCATACAGAGTCATCCCCACAAACCTTTCTACACAGTTGGTGAGAAGGTGACTCTTTCCTGTTCAGGTGGCATGTCCTTAAAAGGTCCTTCAGTGTTTCTCTGCGGCTCCAGTCTTAAGTGGAGTCCTGAGATGAGCAACGTCCAGTGTGTCCACAAAGGTGAGTGGTGTCTGTGTTTCTTCAAGGACATCTGTGCTCGAGTGAGCCAGAGTCCTTGTGTTGGCCTTTACGCCATGGTATCACTGTCACTCTGAGTCATTCTTTTCATCCTGAGCCTAGGAGAGGAGGGACAGTTTGAAGACTGTGCAACAGAATTTTCCACACAGCACGCACATAGGCATGAAACGCGGGGACGGCCATCTCATGATGGATTCTAAAGTATCGAACTTAAACACTCCATATTAAAGATTAGCTTTGTTAGGATGCTTTTTAAAAGCTGGGTTTTAGGTTTTCTACTGATTTTTTTCCTGTACTTTTACTAAGTACAGAGTGAACAGTTTATATAAAATTCTAAATATTACATTTCTGGACTTTCAGAGAGTTTATTGAATTACTAAAATCAAGAATTTATAGAATTTATAGTTATATATAAATTTAATGCTGCAAACTAGACATTTGTACTGTGGTATATAAAGGTGCTCTTAGTAAAAAACCAACAATCCAATATTTTAAACACCAGGGATGTGAAAAAACTCTTTTAAGCACTAAGATAGGAAAGGGTTTAGAATCTCAAATGATTTCTTTTTAGAGGTATCTGAAATAAGATAGATTATTTGCTTAGCCCTTTTATGGGCTGGGTTTGAGACTCAGTTGGTAGAGCATTTGCCAAGCAATCACAGGACCCTGAGTTCAAATCCCAGTACTACCCCAACCCCAAAACCAAACCAGAAGACAAAACTCTCACACAGTGCCCTCCTATTTCTTCTTTGCTTACATTTATTTTTTATTTTAAAATTTTTGCTTATATTTTAATAATGGAAATATGTTTCTAATAGTTAAAAACAGGTAAGAAAGCAAGCTCATTTGCATGCTAATTTGTATTATTTCATGACTTTTTTTTCTTGAGGGATTTTTAGTTCAATGCTTTTCTGGTCTTTTCTAGTGAAGAAGGAATACTAGATTCTATTAGAGATAGTCTTAGGTAAAACAGATGTTTATAACCTAAAAGCAAGAGCAGGCTTCTGGGAGTACTATGGTACAGATTGTAAAGTTGGGCCATGATGATAGATGAGCAACAGTGGGGTGGAAGGAGAGCAGGTCTCAAGGGAGACCCTCCATGCCACTTCTGATAGGTTCTGGGCCGTCAAAGCTCCCCATTAGAAGACATTTGCTTTGTTTTTGATATACACCAAAACATAAATATATTTATTTGAGCTATGTGAATTAATGAACCTGTCTGTACAATTCTAAGATGAACAAGAACAATAGATAGTTGATGAGGTTGTACTTTTGTTCCAAAAGAGATACAGTTGTCTCTCTGGGATATCTGTTTCAGTCATTTGCTAGCACAATTTAATAGGACTTCCCTCCTACTCAATAGAAAATTCTATTAAGGTTGGCTTTAATTAAGGATATTTCTCAGGCCTATTTGTTTTTCTGAAGATGTAGAAAACAATAACAACTACCCTTAAAATAAGTGAATGGCATATTCAAAAGAGTCCCAAGTTTATCATCCTTCTAAGCTTATGTTTTAAAACATGGACTAAAAAATAAAGTACTGGTTCAGTATTCAGTCTTATAAAAATTGTGGTAAAATATATGAAGGTTTACCATTTGTAACCATTTCAAATATACAGACCAGTGACAT